AGTACCCATGCGGTTGACTCACAACCACCTGTAACTCCAGCTCCAGGGAATCTAGTGCTCTCTTCTGGCCTCTGGTGGCACCTGCACTCATGTGCACATATACATAAGCAGACATATGTACTAAAAAAAAAAAAAACCAAAAAACAAACAATAAAAAATAAATCTTTAAAAAATTCTTGAAGCCGGGTGTGGTGGCACTCGCCTGTAGTCCCAGCACTTGGGAGGCAGAGGCAGGCAGATCATTGTGAGTTCAAGGCCTGCCTGGTCTACACAGTAGGCCAGCTGCCAGCAGAGAAGGCTCAGTAATTAAAAGCATTGACTTCTTTTTTTTTTTTTTTTTTTTGGTCTTTTGAGACAAGGTCTCCCTGTAGCCCTAGCCAGCCTGAAATTACTCTGTAGACCAGGCTGGCCTCAAACTCACAGAGATCTACCCGCCTTTGCCTTCCAAGTGCTGGGACTAAAAGTGCGTGTCACCATGCCCTACAAGTACTGGCTACTCTTGCAGAGGACATGGGTTCAGTTTCCAGCACCCACATGGCAATTAACAACCAGCTAACTCCAGCTACAAGGGCTCTGACACATTCTTCTGACCTTCTTGGGCATTGCACTTGTGGTGCACTTATATACATGCAGCAAAACACTTAGATACATTAAATAAAAAAATTAAAATATATTTTAGAAATCTGGGCATAGCTATAATTCCAGCACTGATGAGGCAGACAGAAGCAGATCCCTGGGGGTTGCTGGACAGCCAGCTTACCCTAGTCAGTGAGCCTCAGGTTCGGTGAGAGACCCTGTCTTAAAAAATAAGGTAAATGGTACATGAGGAAGAATGACACTTGAGGTTGACCACTGGTTCTTACATACATGTACATACGTGTACAACCATAGCCACATATACACGAACACACACACACACTACTCATAAATATACGTACACACACGTACAGGCACCCACACACAGTCTTGTTGGGAGGAGCTGGACTGGTTAGGTGCATGTGATAGTCTGGAGCACTGTGATCCACTTGATTACTCTCTGATAGAAAAAAGAGAGGTGATAGGAAAATGTGATGTGAGACATATCCTTTCACTGGCAAGAATAAACAGGTTTGTAAGTAGCAATCTCTGAAAGACAGACAGACAGACAGGCAGGCAGAAAGGTAGGTAGGCAGGAGGCAGTTTTGGGCAAATTGGAGCAGAAGACTGTTCAGAGAGCTTGCTGCCCAAGCAGTGATGGCCTGTTATAAAGCTCTTTCCAATATCTCATTGACAGTGGAAATAACAGACTTCATACTGCTTTGCAATCTCAGAGCAATGCTTAAAGCAGGTGGGAGAAATTTCTAGAAACCATAGGAAAGCTTCCAACAGTTTAAGAAATGCAGTTTGGTGAGGTAAATTGTCTCTCATGGAGCCTGCAATGGCAGGAGAGAGGCTGCTGTGCTAAACCAAGGATTGGGAAGGGACAGGTTGTGGACCCATGGCTAGTAATAAGGGAGCCAAAATTTGAGGCCTGGCTGGCTTTGAAGTCTGAACTCCTCTCTGTACCAGGTACCTAGGGCTGTGGCTAGAACTGGACTGCTTCATGCTACTTGCTCGCCACTGGTGCCATAATCCATCAGACATTAGAATCCGTGAGTGAATGAGGCTTTGCTAAGCTGATGATGTCTGTAGCTTTGTTGTCTTAATTCTTCACTCTGATGACTGGTTTTCCCTGAACATAGCCTTGGACTTGTGGGGCCATGCCACTGCTGTGCGTTAGTTGCCTTCTGAAGCCTCACCCAGTGATCCAGGGTTGGAGAAGCTCTTGGGGAGTACTGTCCCTTCTCTCCTCTGCAGAGCTGCCAGTATTTTGCATCCTCATGACAGTCAATTCCAACACCTCTACACTTTGCCATGTGTCCCACCGGCTTGCTAAGCTGTCTTCCTTGGCAGGCTGCCAACTCTTGGGGCTAGAACGGAGGCAGAGTCACCAATCCCTGGGGCCAGGGCTGCCCTGTGCATGGAGGTGGGAACTCAGCCAAGAAGAGCTGAATTCAGTTGATCTCGCTGTGCTTGGGATGAATCTGGACCCCTGGGCGTTTGCTTGGGGACCTTACTGTCTTAACTTGTTTGGGAAAGCTTAGAGTGTCATAGAATAAAATCCATCAGCGACTTACTCATTTTGGTCCATGTTACCTGTTACTTTGAGGGAGAGAGAATTTAAATTGGCACAGTAAGGCATGTTCTTCCCAGTGCTCTGGCAATGACTCTCATGGTGACCTGGCCTGCAGTTGCTCCAGCCCTGGTGTGGGGACAGTGGGGACATGCTGCTCTGCATGGCATGTTTCCTTTTTCAAAACACAGATATTGTGGTTTCTATTTTGTAACCCTCAGCACTGGCTGGTTCCAGGACCTCCACAGTGATGGCCTGAGGCTGGCTCTGTGGCACCTGTCAGTCCCCTGGATTCATCACTTGTCCTTGCAGTGCTGGGATGGCCCTGGCAAGGACTCTGCTACCAGTTCTCCTTCCTGCTTTTCTGGGCACATTGCAGTTCACTGATCAAAAGCTACTGCGTCCTACAGGCTGGTTCTGGTTTGGAGTACTAGTTTATTTTAGACTGTTAAATTTGATTGGACTTCATTGTTCTGTATACTTAGCAGTTTAAGATGAGTTCTGAAAAAAAAAAAACCCAGTTGAATCTATTTTGTAACAACCCGTGTGACTAATTAATGCTCTGCTGTGCACCGTGAAACTTGCAAGGTGCCACGTCAACACATTTTCTGTTTGAAACGGTATTAGCAATTGAACATCTGTATTACAGGAACACAGTCTATTAGTAAACTGAACAGCTTTGTTGGCTCACCTTGTTGAGCAGGGACATAATCCTTGTGGCTTTAGAAAGCTCCCCCAAGTTCTAATGGTTGCCATTTTGGAAATGAATTGCATTGAATAAATGAAGGGGAATGTCAGGCATTTAATTGGCTCTTCTCTCCCAGCCTGCTGCATGAATTTTGGAACCATTGTCAGTGATGATAATTCACTGCTGATGGGAAGCTGACAGACTGGTAGATGCTGTTGGTCTTTGGAGGGGGGTGGGGCTAGCTCTGCAACAATCTCGGATGTCTGACTCAGTCTTGTCTTCACAGATTTCTACTAATGTTTCTCAGATAGCAGCAGAATAGGGAGGAAGGCTGTGGTGGCTTGCCCCAAGTGGTTCACAATTGTGAGTTCGAGGCCAGCCTGGTCTACATAGCAAGTTCCAGGCCAGCTGGGGCTACAGGGAGACCCTGTCTCAAAAAGACCAAAAAACAAAACAAACAAAACAAAACAATTCAATCCATGAACTGTTGGATTTTCAATCGATGTTAACATTGTCTTCCAAATCGTCATTTAGAAAGAGTTGACTGGGAAGATGCGTCATTAAATCCTGGGGCTGCTTGAACCCTTGGGATCAGATAACTGACTTGAGAGTTAACTATAAACGTGACTATTTCAAAAGCATAAAAGGATACCTGAGTAAGCAAAGCATCTCTCATGTACGAAATGGGAGAAATGGGGCAGAAGCCAGGGTGGGATTTTCCTTTCAAGTGGCCCCTATGTAGGGATGGACTGGCAAGGAGACTGAAGCACGGGACCAGGAGGGGCTATATTAGTGTTTGGAGACAACAAACTGAATTGCTGGGATGGGGACAGGAGAAAGGGGAGGAATCAACCCATTGATTGGCAGACAGGGGGTGCCTGCTGCAATGCCAAGCTTTTACTTGGTGTTTTAAACCCAATCTCCATTGCAACTTCCTCTCCACTTGAGTTGATGGACAATTCAGATGAGGAATCCAGGGCATTGTGTCTCTTGAGTAGGAGATCTACATACAGATTTGGTTCAAAGGATGTTTTGTGGTAAATCAGCAGGGCTCTGGAACTGTTTAGAAGTGGCTGGGCAGGAGGGAGACTGGAGGAAGGAGGAGGACCCTCATCTATTCCTGTAAGTCTTAGCTCCAGAGCCTTCTCATCCAAAGACCTTCTACCCCGCCCTGCATAATTCACACCATTTTAAAGAGTACACCCCATTCTCTGGCCTTTTACTGGACGTATAGTCCAGTATCAAAGGGCGGACCCACTTTCTGCTCCTTCTAGCTGGTTATCTTCAAGTCACTCTTCCTCTCTGAGCTGTAGTGTCCTTAGAAGAATTCTAATAATTGTTTCATTATGAGATTAGGAAAAAAATCACCTAAAAGAAGGCATAGTCCAGCACTCAGCAGTGCTCAGCATACTGGAAGCAAACTTCTTCACTCAGTGCATTTGATTTTAGAAGTAGATAACATTTGATTTTAGGAAGTGTGGGAAGTAATGAGTTGTGAAAATGATTGGACTTTGACAGGTGCTTGTAACATGAAAAATTGTAATTTTTTTTGAGGCAGAGTCTCACATAGTCCAAGCTGGACTTGAACTTATTATATAGCTAAGGATGACTTTGAGCTTCTGATCCTCCAGTCTCTAGGTATGTGTGGTATGCGTCATTGCCCAGGCCTATATATCCAGTTTATGTGTTGCTGGGGATTGAATCCAGGGTTTCATGCATGTTAGACAAGCATTGTACCAACTGAGTCACATCCTTAGCTCCCCACAAATGCAATTCTTCACCCATTGAATGCTTGAATAGTGTGTGTATCTTGTTTCATCCAGTAGCATTAGGATACTTCTTATTTTGAGCCACAGGGAAGCCATGTATGAAACACCTGTCATGCCCCTTTCTGGTGACTGTTCTGATGTGTGTTCTTAGAGGGCTCTACAAACCATACCCCAGGCTTGGGAGATAGCTCAATGGTAGAGCACTGGCCTAAAACATTCAAGGCACTGGGTTCCATCCCCAGCCTCACAAAACAAACAACCAACATGATAAAACATCACCTACTTTACTCGCAAAATGCTTTCCTTTCACCTTGTTAGCTCATGCTGTTGAAACCATCTCTGTGGCAAATTTACTCTGTGAATCATAGCTTTTTCTTGGTTTTATCTTCAGTTGTGGCTGTCTACTTGAAGGAATCCTGGTGGTCCACAGAAGATGTCCTAAGAACTTCTGATCCCACACGGAAAGGGCTCATGAAGGTGAGGAGATACCATTTAATACCATGTTAATAACTAAAGGTTAGTGTAGTCATTCCCTGGGGTACCAAGGTTGGTATGCTGAGACCACAAACATTTATTGTCACTTGGTTCTGGAGGCTAGAAGTCCAAAGCCAAGTCATCTGTGGATGCTTTCTTATGAGGGCTGTGAGGGAAATCTGTTGCTGTCTCTCTCCCAACTTCTGGTTGTCTCAGCCATTGTTTGGCCTGAAGATGGTATGGTGTTTATGTGTGTGTATGTTGCCTTCTCTGTAAGCATGTCTGCTTGTGTTGAGGCCCCCCCTTTTCTTTATTTTTTATTGAATTTTTACAATTTTCATATAATGTATTTTGATCATATTCAGATCTCCTCATCTGCACTTCTCCTTACTATCTCCTGCCCAATTTCATGTTATTTCTATTATATATATGTATATATAAACATATAGTGCATATATATATTTAGGTATGGTATAGTTTATAGAGTCTAATTTGGGTCCCCCAACTGTCCTTCAGGGTGGGTCCATCCTCTGGAGCCTAGCTAACTTACCAAGAGTCACACCCTTGAAAGAGATTGATTCTTCCTAACAGCCATTGGTTGCCAATAGTTCCTCAGGTAGGGTTGGGGTTTCCCACCCACTTCTCCACGTCTGTGTTGGAATTTTGTCTGGTTTGAGCTCGCATGGAACTAGTGCATGCTGACACCACTGCTGTGAGTGCATATGAGTAACCTGGGAAGATGGCTCAGTGGGTAAAATACTCTGCAAACTGAGGACGTGCATTTGAATCACCAGTACCCCTGTAAAAAGGTAGGCATGGACTTGTAACCCCAGCATTAATGGGTAGAGACAGGTGAATCTTGAGACTCTGCTGGTTGGGCAGCCTAAAACCTAGTGAGCTTCCAGTTTACTAAGAGACTCTGTCTCAAGGCAATAAGGCAGAGTGACAGATGAAGATATCTGATGTTTTGCTGTGGACCCCATATGGATGCACACACCTACACACTCAAATACTGTAACACACAGACACACACAGACACACACACACTTATTTGTGTATTTTGATTACCTATAAGTACACTGGTATGTGTGTAGTGCTTGCAAAGGCCAGAAGAGGGTGATGGAGCCGCGATGTAGGTGCTGGGAATCTAACCTGGGTCCCCTCGAAGAACAACAAGTGCTCTTAACCCTTTAACCACCTCTCCAGCCCCTGACTTACTCTTTATAATGTTTTAGAATGAGAGTGGTTGCTGCTCTCTGTTTTCATCTCTTCTAAGTTTAGATTAGAACTCCATTCTGTTTTTCTGAGTGTGTGCTATATGTTATGAACTGAAAGAAAGTTGGATATTGTTTCCACTTATCCACAACTTCTATTATGAAGTTGTGCCTCCCTGCTCCCCCCCAGTACATGAGGAAAATTCCTTTCTTGTATAAAACTTTGTCTTTACTTTTTGTTTTTTCTTATATTTTGTTTTCTTAGCCACTTATTTTTCACAAATTACCAGAACTTTCTTTTTCTTTCTTTCTTTCCTTCCTTCCTCTTTCTTTTTTGGCAAATATTTTCTAGGCATCCCTCCCTCCCTCCCTCCTTCCTTCCTTCCTTCCTTCCTTCCTTCCTTCCTTCCTTCTGAGGCAGGGTCTCCCTATAGCCCCAGCTGTCCTGGAACTCACTATGTAGTCCAGGCTGGCCTCGAACTCACAGAGATCCCCTGCCTCTGGCTCCCGAATGCTGGGATTAAAGGCGTGCACCACCATACCCCGCTTCAGAAGAACTTTCTTAATGTTCCCTTTGCTTACATAATTAGTGTTCCTAATGAGGGATTAGAAATGGATCTTAGTTTTATGTATTCGAGAATGCTTCTAAGTCAAAATCATGTGGCCCAGTTTTTCCTCCTGTGATGGAAGTGGACAAATTCAGTGCATTTGCTTTTTCTCCCCTTTCTCCCTCCAGTGTTTGATTGTTTGTTTCCCTTCGGCCACATGTGGTCTGCTTCTCTTGTCTGGTTTTCTGATGAACTTTTCTGGTTTATAAGTTGGAAAATATAGCACTCTACATGATACCCACCAACTTAAAAAAACGTATGAACGTTTTCCCTGCATATGTGAAGGAGCACTGTATGCATGCAATGCTTGAGGAGACCAGAAGAGGTCGTTAGATCCCCTGCAACTGGAATATTGACTGTTATTAGCTACCATGTGGGTGTTGAGAATGGAAACTGGGTCCTCTGCAAGAACAACCAGTGCTTTTAACCACTGAACCATCTCTCCAGCCCCTCCATCAGCTTTTGAGACCAGCTAGTTCTTTTTAAAGTTGAATTTCATCTGGCTGCCACTATTTGAGACAGAAAGTGTGAACTCGTCAGATTTGCATAGGTCTCTCCTTCCTCTAAGAGGTGGCTCCAGATGTAGGTGACATATTTTGCATTTTGGATAATAACTTTGTTGATATTAGACATTTTGTGTTGTATGGTAGATGGTGCTACAAGATGCCTTATTATTAATTCTTTTTATTATCAATCAGAACATTTTAAAAACAGACAAATGAGCTAGTGAGATGGCTCAGTGCATAAAGATGCTTTCTGGATGAGTCTGATGACCCAAGTTTGATCTGTGGAACCCACATAAAGGTGGAGGGAGAGAATGGACTCCACAAAGTTGTCAAGTGACCTCCACATGTGTGTCCTGGTGCACATCATGCACACACACATATGTGTGCATGTGCATGCACACACACGCATGCATGTGCATGCACACACACCACTGCCAACACCAGCAGACTAGTCTTTTAGAGATCACTTCAGCGATCTTACCCTTGACCTTTGAGGGACACTGAGGCTCAAGGAGTGGGTGGTCAACAAGTGGCCTCAATAAGTGGCCAAAGTCTCCCTGCAAATGCAAGTCAAGATACTACAACTACAAATGATGGTGGTGATGTTGGTAAGGGTGGTGGCTTTAGGGTTATAAGCCCAAAGGGTTGAGGAGATAGGTCAGTTGGTAGAGGGCTTGCCATGCAAACATGAGGGCCCAAGTTCAATCCCAAGGACCCACATATAAAAGCTGGGCATGGTGGCAAATGCTTGTAATAGCAGTGCTGGGGAAGCAGGAAAAAAAGGATCCCTGGAGCTCAACTGCAACCTGGCCTAACTGGCGAGCTCCAGTTTCAATGAGAAACTGTGTCTCAAAAAATAAAGTGGACAGCACCCGAGGAGTGATATCCAATGTTGACTCCCTCTTTCTCTCTGTCTCTTGATCTCTCACACACATACTATATACCACACCAGCACACACATGTACACCCACAGATCTGAACTGAAATGCATACAACATATAAGGTTGACTGTAAGACCAAGCATTAATGTTTGCAGCAATGCTTCTTTCCCCAAAGCCTCAGTTCTACTGGTTGAAAATGCAGAAGGGAATCAGCTGCTGGCTGGACTTGAGCAGGTGTGTTGTACTGGGATACAGGGGCCCTTGCCTGTTATTGCAGCCTGCTTGTGACAGAGCCCTGGTCCAAACACAGAGTTGTCTTTGGAATGAGGCAGTGAAGTTGATAAGTGTAATTACCTACCCTTTTAGACCTGGAGAGTGGAGAATCAAGTGACAACATGTGGGTGGAATTTACACCCCGTGGTGCCTGCTTGTGACAGAGCCCTGGTCCAAACACAGAGTTGTCTTTGGAATGAGGTAGTGAAGTTGATAAGTGTAATTACCTACCCTTTTAGACCTCCTGGAGGGTGGAGAATCAAGTGACAACATGTGGGTGGAATTTACACCCCGTGGTACAGTGGATCTGGTGGTAATGTGGATCCATGCACATACAAACACATACATGCTTATATGCACACATATACCACATAAGCTGTCACATAGCAGGGTTGTAGGAATAAAATCCAAGGCTGTAATAGTCACTGTGTGACTAGCTGATTGGTTTTATCCCTTGTGCTACATTTCATCAGTTGCTTGTGGTGTCTAGAAGACTGTATGTAGATTTCAGAGGTCATGTCCAGACTTGGCCAGGTAGCCATGTCATCTATGCATCCAGAAGGGGTAGGGGGGACACCCTGATTTCAACCACCCATTTGCCCTTCACGGGCCACACACACATAATTTTTTCTTTCTTTCTTTCTTTCTTTCTTTCTTTCTTTCTTTCTTTCTTTCTTTCTTTCTTTTCTTTCTTTCTTTCCTTCATTTGTTTATTATTTACTTTTATTTTATGTGTATGAGTGTGTTGCCTGCATATATGTAAGTGTATCCATGTCGTGAAATGTCCTTGGGGGTCAGAAGAGGGCATCAGATCCCCTGGAACTGTAGTTATGGATAGTTGTTAGCCACCACGTAGGTTCTGGGACTCGAACCCGGGTCTTCTGTGAGAGCAGTCAATACTCTTAACTACTGAGCCATCTCTCCAGCCCCACATGCAGATAATTTTAATAGACAGTGTCCTAGTTTGTTCTTCATTGCTTTGACAAAATACTCTGACCAATACCAACTTGGGGAGGACAGGGTTTATTCAGCTTACATCTCCCCAGGTCACAGTTCATCAGGGAGCCCAAGGCAGGAACTCAGGGCAGGAACCTGGAAGCAGGAACTAGAGCACAGGCCATGGAGGAACGCTGCTTACTGGCTTGCTCCCCTGGCCCCTGCTCAGCCTGCTTTCTTATGCAACACAGGCCCACCTGCCCAGGGGTGGCACCACCCACAGTGGGCTGGGCCCTCCCACATCACTCATCAAGAAGATGCCCCTCAGGCATGGCCACAGGCCAGTCCAATAGAGGAAATTCCCCAATTGAGGCTCCCTCAACCCAGGTGTGTCAAGTTGACACTAAAGCTATCCAGCACAGACAGGAACACGAAGTCATTTGGCTTATGCAAGAGAAAGCTTCCAGCTATCTGGGCCTGACTTTGACCACAGGATGGTTTCCTTACTTGGGATGGCTGAGCCACAAGAAGGTTTTAGTTTATAACTTAGTACCAGGTGGGCTTTGAGTCTTGGTAATTTTGGGGATTGAGACTCCAGAGTGTGTTCAAAATCTGTCACAAGTTATTGAAAATCAGTTACTTTTGCTATAGTGATTGAGCTCCTCAATTATTGCTCATCCTAGAGCCAGAATTCTTGTGGGAGGACCCTGATGCTCTTAAAAATGGCAGATTGGTTGAAAAAAATTATTTCAGGACACAGCTGGTGATCCCTTGGAATGGCTTGACCTGGCTGCTAGGAGGTAACTTCCTGTTCTCTTACCCCCAACCTGGTCATGCTCTGTGGATATGCATTTTATGTCTGGTGGCCCTGGGGACCCAGGAACTTCCCCTGGCACTGTTACTCTGCCTGCAGGCTGCATAGTTATGTAAGTCAGTAATGCTGAAATTCCATGATTCACATCTTGAGCAAAAATGAATCCTACCACACCTTGTGGCCTTGTGGTACAGGATGATTCCAGACACCATCTGTCAACCTGATTTTCCTCTCTGGCCTCACTTGGTGACTGTTCTTTCTTTTTTCTTCAAAGGTTCGGTCCTTTGGGGAAAGGATTGTACTTTTCATCCTCAATGTCATTATTTTTGGAAAGTTGGAGAGAAGTTTGGATGATGAGGACATGTTTTTCCTACCTCACCCTGCGAAGGAGCAGGCTAAGATTCTGTGGAGAGATGGAGCGGCCATTGGATTTTATTCAACCAAAATGAAAGGTGAGAGATACCCGTGTGGAGACTCTTGATGTCTGCCTGTCTCTCTAGACACTGTCAACATGAGTGTTCTGTGGAGAGAATCTTCTGGTGCAGGAAGCATGGCTAATTAAACTGTTGTGTCAGTAAGTGCAGGCATGGGTTCCATTTTCACATCTCTGTAAGCCTGCCCTTGGATTCCCAGGCAGAACCACATACGTGCACCTTTAAATACTTGTGACAGTGAACAGTGAACGAAGACTGAAGCACACGCTCTTACTTTAATGTTACCGATTAGCTGTCAGGAAAAATACTATTGCTAACAGCTGACATGTGTGCAGGAAGTGCCCCAGATGCCAAGACTTATAGACATTACCTCAGAAGGAGTTGGCCACAAAAACAAGCTTAGGTTAGACAACAGCAACTTCTTTCTAGGGGCTGTGACAAGCAATAAGTGTGGAACCATAGGCTGTAGGATCCGTCCTTTAAAGTTGCCGCTTTCTTTAACAGTCTCTTCAACTTTGAAAGGCTGTCAACATCTCTGATCTACCTGGTTCCAGCACCACTATTTGGTCCTTATAAAGTTATCAGTGTTTAAAATAAAATTACATTTATTTATTTTTGTAGGGAGTATGGTGTAGAAGTGGTTAGAAGATAACGTGTGAGAGTTGGTTCTCTCCTTCCACCGTGTGGGTCCTGGGGTTGGAACTCAGGTTGTCAGGCTTGGTGGCAAGTGCCTTTACCTACTGAGCCATCTTGTCTGCCCTAAAGTTACCAATTTTAGCAGCAGTTAGTTTTTCCAGTGTGGTGGTTTGAATGAGAAGTGTCTTCCATAGGCTCAGGTATTTGAATACTTGGTACCCATTTGGTGGAGCTTGTCCTTTGTCAGACTTTCCTAAATGCCCCCATTATCCTGCTGATAAACATGGCATGTTTTTCTCCTTCCTTGAATAACCTCTCTACTCTTATCATAGGTAACAGTTTTTTTTAAAAATTTCTTTCCATTTATGTGTATTGTGTGTGAATATGTGTATCTGCCTGTGTATGTGCATGTGCGTGTGGGTGAGCTGCTCAACTTGGGTACTGGGAACCAAACTCTGGTCCTTTGGAAGATTAGGAGATGCTCTTAACTGCTGAGCCATCTTTCCAATCCCATAAAGATTTCTTTCTAAAAAAATATTTTTATTGTTTTCGTGCATTTAATGTAATAGATCTTAATCAAATTTAGATCTCCTCTGCCATCTGTGTCCCACTCCAATTAGTCCCCTCCCCCCCAGAATGGATTTCATGCATTCTGTCATATATGTTAAGTCCTATCTGGTCAAGTATTTGTACCCAGATGTCCCTTGATGCAAGTCATCCACTGGAGTCTAGTCAGCCTATCTAGAGTCACTCCCTTAAAGAAGATCTACCCTCCTTCTCCCAGCAGTAACCAGTTGCCAATAGTTCTTCAGCTAGGGTTGGGGACTGCTGCCCATTTCCTTCATTTTATGCTGGGTTTTTGTCTGATTGAATGGACGTGGGTCTTGAGCATGCTGTCACTATTGTTGCAAGTTCATATAAGCACGTTCCCAGTGGCCTGAAAGCTTCTGTTTCTTTATGTTCATGCACCAACCATGAATCTCACAGTCTTTCTGCTCTGTCTTCCACAACAGTCCCTGAGCCGTTGGGTGGTGAAGTTTAATATAGGAGTCCTGTCCAGAGACATGTACTCTGCAGTCCCTTGTCTTCTAAAACTTAGCCAGTTCTAGCCTTCTGTGTGCATCAAATTTTGTTGTATGAGGACACCTCCCTGGTGTATGCCTTCCTGAGGCATGTGTCCGTATTCTCTCTACCCCCTGTTCTGCTATGTTCCATGAACCTTAGGTACAGAGGTTCCACTGTAGATGTGTCACTTAGGGCTAGGGAACTCATGGGTGTCACTGTAAATATAGTCAACTATACATGACTGGAGAAGTCATAGATCCTAGAGAAAACCCTATCTCTGTCATATCTCTAAACAAATGAAATTTTTTACTGTATGCTAAATATGGATCCTTATATTTACAAACATGTATACCATACACTTGTCAAAGAAGCGTCTTTTTGCAACAGATGGAAGCTATTACAGAGTTCCACAACTGGTCACACACAGAGAATACATGTCTGAGAGATGTCCATAAAGATTTCTTAATACAATTAAAACCAAGTTTCTGTAATGAGGCTTTCTATCATCATCCTATTATGGTTCCCTACCAAGGTATTATAATCCCACACAGTGGAATCATAATTTGGGAGGGCCTGTAGACCAGGCAGGCAGTCATTAAGACTCTGACCAAATAACTCATCTATGTGCTTTATAGCCTCCTCCCTGATCCTCTGTTTTTCCCCAGGGGTATAGCAAGTAGTCAGGACTAAGCACAGGTCTTTCCATATAAGCTCATAAGCTAAAGTTGAGGTGGATCAGGATGAGTCCTCAGAGAAGCTGTAGCTTCTCATGCATTGTTGAGGGTCCCTACTTGAAAAGAGGATCTGGGCTCTGGGCTCAGGCACTGCCCTTAAGGGGTGTGCTGAAGGCATGTGAGAGGATGGTTCCTAGGGACCTCCACTCCTCCTCTCCTTGTGTCCTTCAGGGTTGGGTTTCCCTTTCTAAATTTTCATTGTATAACCCCTTGTCCTGGTAGAGGGCCATGAAGGCCTATAGGCTATTACTCTTGATTCCTACAAAATAGGCCCAGCCGCAGTTTGGTACTGTAGTTTAAGCTTCCTTGCTTTAGCCAGATCTCCACATTCCCCAGCTTGTACTGAAGCTGCATGGTTTTGTAGTAAAGTATCATATTCTAGTTCTTGAGGCTGTATCATAGTGTGGAGTCCAAGGGATGGACAAGGGCCTCTGGGGTAGCAAAGTGTCCCTCTTATCTACTCTGAGTCCTCAAGGAGATTTGATGGGTTAGAGCTTTATTTCTAAGCATTTGCTACCTACCAGGTGTTCTGAGAAAGTCTGAACATAGCCACGGAAGTGTTAGGAACACTGGCCTGAGTTTATCTTTTTTCTGGGCTTATCCTTTTCTGGCCTGAGGTTTGAATATCATTTATGTTGTTTCTCAGGATTAAGTCCCACAAGTCTAGTCCTGCTATGAGCATCTCTAATGCTGTTTCTATTTATTTATTTTTATATGTATGAATGTTTTGCCTGCATGTATGTAAGTTCACCCATGTATGCGCTGCTCATAGAGGCTAAAATTCCCTGGAGAGCCCTTGGAACTGGAATTATGGAAAGTTGTTAGGCCATGTCATTGCCTGGAATGGAACCCAGGTCCTCTGCAAGAGCAGCCAGTGCTCTTAACTGCTGAGCCATCTCTTCCATTGTTGAGGTTGTTTTCTTGGTGAATAAGGTCTTTCTCCCAAGAAGCACTTAAAAAAAAGTCTGATCTACTAGGTCGCTATTCAGTGAAGAGGCTTGCTTATATGAATGGCTTTGACTTTTTTGTTTTAAGTTGCCATTCAGGTTATGAGTGCAAATGGGCTGAATTTTTCTTTGGATCTCATGCTCAAGGGAATGAATGTCTTGTTACCTGGAGAATTGTCTCCATATCCTTGGGGGAAAGGACTGAATGGTAAAGGAACATGGAGAATTTGAGAGAGTTAGGGTATAATGAAGCAGAAGTAAGCAAGGCAAAGTGGTAAAAGGTGGGGAGGCACTTAACTTGTGGACAGTGTTCAGTTTGGCTTCCCATCTGGCCAAGCTCTGTTGTCACTCAGGCCCTGCGCCTTAAACCCCTTTTTCTGCTGGGGATTGGCATTAGTGAGAAAGATGGGAATCTGAAGGCACCTGGTAGGATCAGCAAACAAAGCCTATGGGCCTTGGAACCTTGCAGTCAGTGGAACTGGCATCTGCTCCCAAGCCCAGCCCCAGAGCTGGTCTCTAGTAAATTGTCTTTGGTTGGTGTGAGAAAGGCTCAGAGAAGCGCTGCCACAGCACCCCCCACATACTCTTCCTGCATCCCAGCAGGCATCTGGGAAGGTGGAAAGAAGAATGGAAGTGGGCAAGTGAATGCTGGCATCACAGAAAAGTCTGAGGATGCAGGACCCAGAGCAGCCATGTGGGCATTATTGTTTTTATTAGTACCAGCATGGCTGCCCCATAACGATCACCTGTGTGGTCAGGGGTCGGGTTCCTACGTCTTCTAGGTTCAGCCAATTTAAAGTGCTTTTTGTCATCGGCAGCTGCAGGCTGGTGCATGCATCTTTGCCCCAGCTCATGTCTCAGTAGGGCAGGGGAGAGGGTCCAGTTACACACTCAGCTCCTGCCATAGAACACCATAAATGGTGAAAAGTAAAGACAGAAGCGGGGAAAGATGGGAAAGGGCGAGGTGCTGCCACACTATCAGGCCTTTCCCTGGAGCGTGCCCATTTCCAAGTGCTCATGGGAGAACCAAAGTGGAGGGCACAGAAGGAGGGGGGCAATAAGAAACAGCATAGACCTTGGCTATATAGCTCCTGGCTACATCAGCTTTTATAGGTACAGATTGAAGCCTGGGGCACACCAGCTAAAATTTCTAGGTTCTTGTGTCCTGGAACACTGAATTAGACCAGGAACATATGGTTAGAAATAGTGGGGCTGGGGAGATGATTCTGAAGTTTAGAGCTGCTCCTCTTGCAAAGGATCACAGTTGGGTTCCTAGTACTCACCGTGGGCTGCTCACAGCTGTCTGCAACCCTAGGTCCAGGGGATCCAGTTCCGTTTTCTGGTGTCCATAGGCACTTGCATATACTCACACACAGACATGCAAGCATACACATAAATAAAAGTAACATAAATCTAAAAATAAAAAGAAATTGCAACTGTTCATTAAGAAAGAAAAAAAAAAAAAAAAAAAAAAGGCACTTCCAAGGGTGGAAGTGGGCTAGTGATCTGGAAAAGAGACTCTCAGAAAGTCACATCCCTACCTATATCTTGGAGTATTTTACTTCTGTTTCTTCTAGCAGTTTCAGGTCTTGCATTAAGGTCTTTGATCTACTTTGAACTGATTTTTGTGCATGGT